TTCAGATGTGTACCTTAAAATTATGAAATTAATTTTGTTTGTAATGACACTAATTATTTTAGATTTATTATATGTATGTATCCTTTCATATGACTTAGTTTTTTTGTTTTATTTATATAAATAAAAGTTGATCGTATAATTCTTTTATTCAAAGACATATATCTTATTCAACAAAATTATACTTGTATTAAGTTTTAAACCGTACATAAGGTTGATCGAGATTCATAACATTCATAACATAATATAAAAAAGATAGAAAATTAGAAAGACACATAGTGTTTGATAGGAAGTAAGAAGTCTAGCTGGGGACGTCAAAGAAGTTGACAAGGTTGTTCTTATTGTTGAGATCAGTGAACACAAGGGTGCCATAGGTTCGGCTACTAGTCCCCTCAAGAGCTGTCAATCGAAGGTTATAGTTGGTCCCAGCCACAATTTGCATTTCTCCACTAATTACTTTTTGGAAGTGGAGTTGAGTTTTTGCCTGTTTATTGTGTTCGTTCACTGCGAACTCACCTAAGCTTTGAATCTCGGGTTCATCTATGTTTTTTATTGGTTTGTAGCTGCCCGCCAAATCTAAACGTTGGGTTGCCACCGCGAGCAACGATAGCGATAGGACGTAGAGGAGAAGAGAAGCCACGAAGAAATGAGCCTTAGGCATGGTGAAAAAGTTTGAAGATGATGAAGAGTATTTGATGGGTTGTTGAAGGAGAAGGTTGGTGGGTATTTATAGGAATGGATAAATGCATGAATGGACCTATAGATCATAGGCTCCAACAATGGAAGATTAACCGACTAAACTCATTAACTTTGTTAACCAACATTTGTTAACTACCAGGACACTTCACTATAGCCTAGTAGTTGCACTCCCCTCACTATAGATATATTTCTGTCCATTTGATATAACCATGATTAGTAAGTCGATCCTTCATAGGTTGTTCATAACTAGAGCTGGGTCAATTTACCGTTTTACTCCTAAAGTTACTTCTTGTTTCTTATGTCTCATTGATTCTCTAATGAACAATTGGTTTATGGTCCTACCAATAAACCAAATCCCTCTCAGGCCAATGAGAGGGTGGGACCCCTTGATCCTTCATAGGTTGTTCATAACTAGAGCTGGGTCAATTTACCGTTTTACTCCTAAAGTTACTTCTTGTTTCTTATGTCTCATTGATTCTCTAATGAACAATTGGTTTATGGTCCTACCAATAAACCAAATCCCTCTCAGGCCAATGAGAGGGTGGGACCCCTTGTTCAAGACCTGGAGTGGAGTCAGTACTTAAGGAAACTACCTCTCTTCTATCCCTAAAAGTAGGTAGGAGCGAATTTCATCTTGCACCCCACGTCCCTCGCCATTCACCCAGTCTTACCCTTGAAATGGGAGGCCTATTGAGTCGGCGAACTCGAGCCACTCTCACCCTTGAAAATCTAAGGATAATTCCGAATAAACAGGAGTTGATGGTTAGCTCAGGATTAAGATCGAGTTACCTAGGTCATCAAATGAAAAGAAAACCACTCTCAATAGTAAACGACATTATAAAGTGAGAGTGATTTTCTTCATTGTCCGATCTTATGCAATACTCATTGCATAGGACGCCCCACTCACATGTCTCCGCATGTATAATTTAGTGATCACATTGTTTATGTCATATACAAATAGGGGCCGCATCCATAGTGTCCCCAGGATAAGGCACTCAGCCTTATCCCTATACTATAGATCATTTTGACTATATACTTGTACTTGATTCACTCTTATGTCTCTACATATAGTTCAAGTAATCATACTATAGCCAGAGTGTTCTTAGTTTATTGGATTTAGATTAATAATCGTAAAATTCACTTTATTAAAATAACAATCTTTATTGAATAAACATCAATAATAACTTTATTGAAAATAGAATGTGTTTTTGTTTACAAACTATGAGTTTTGGTACATAAAATCCAACAAGTCTAACACATGGACCCATGTAAAATTTAGAGAATTGAAATTGAAATTGATGTCATGGTTCATATAGGTTTACTTCGATACAAAGGACAAAATCGAACTTTCTTCTCAAGGATAAATTGATGACACCAGCCTACGCTAATCAGGTAAGTGACCTTACTATCGACATAGTTATATTTGATGTTAACACGTGCCCTGTGGTTCTGCACATGTCCTATATATTGATATTTGTGATTGTTTATGAATCGATATGATTAAGATATATGATATGTATATGTTATGATTTGTAAATGGTATGATAACACTTATGGTATGATGCGTTCGACAATAAGTTTGAAATAGGATACGAGAAGGATGCGATAAACGTAATGTAACGATATGATTACGATATGTCCTGAAACGATATGATTAGGTTATGTATAGAAAGTGATATGATTATGATAGTTGATAAGACGATATGTTTAGGATACGTCATAAAATGATATGGCTAGGATACGTTTGGGAAACGATATGACTAAGATATGTTCATTTAACAATATGATTTTGATATGTATAAGAACGATAAAACTACGACAAGTTTAGGAAACGATATGACTAGAATATACATATGGAACGAACAACACATATAGGTACAAATAAAGTTCGGATTGTTGGTATTTTACGGGAAATTGAAGATGATAGAGGACTTACACTTCAAAGTGAAGTCTTGACATGATAGCGGTTCGTTGAACATCATTGCAAATAGTGAATATTTTGTCTTGTATTGTTTGAATAATTTTCCAGTGGAGAATATTTTCTCTTGTATAGCTTGAATAACTTTATGTTAGGAAAGGATTGAATAGTACTCTTGAAATAGATTATGAAATTTCAATTATGAATGGAAGTTATGGTATTTAATGGGTCACCAGAATTTCATGTGTGTTTATTTAGTTAAAAAATGAGTTTTTGAATTAAATTTTATTAAAAAAAATGTGATTATAATAATTATAAATGAATAAATAACTTTATTATAGTACACATTAAAGCTATAAATGCTATAGCATTAAAAAAATGTCATTATAAGTTAATGATAGCACAATATTTGAAATTAATTTTATTTGCATTGAAATTAGTTGTTTAGATTCATTATATATCTTATTTAACTAAATTATACTTGTATTAGGTTTTAAACCATACATAAACAAATTTGATCGAGATTTCAAACCTTTATAACATAATATAAAAAAGATAGAGAATTAGAAACACATATAGTTATTTGATAAGAAGCAAGAAGTCTAGTTGGACGTCAAAGAAGTTGATTAGGTTGTTCTTGTTGTTGAGATCAGTGAACACAAGGGTGTCATAGGTTCGGCTATCAGTCCCCTCAAGAGTTGTCAATCGAAGGTCATAGTTAGTCCCGGCCACAATTTGCATTTCTCCACTAATCACTTTTTGGAAGTGGAGTTATGTTTTTGCCTGTTTGTTGTGTTCATTCACTGAGAACTCACCTAAGTTTTGAATATGTGACTCATCTATATTTTTTATTGGTTTGTAGCTGTCAACCAAACCTAAACGTTGGGTTGCCGCTGCGAGTGACGATAGCAATAGGACGTAGAGGAGAAGAGGAGTCACGAACAAAAGAACCTTAATCATGGCGATAAAGTTTGAAGATGATGAAGAGTATTTGATGGTTTGATGAAGGAGAAGGTTGGTACGTATTTATAAGAATGGATAAATGAGTTATTTATTGGTTACTTTTTTTTTTTTATGTTTAATACAGAAATAGATGGCTTTAAATGTTCAATGTTATGAGGTAATATTATTATCATGAAAAAAGCGTTATTTATTAAATGTATAATAAATTTGAAAATAACACGAAAAATAGCATTTTGAACATAATTTCAAAAATATTGTTAAAAAAAAAGATAAAAACAAAATTATTACCAAATCCGACCTTATTTCTTATTTTAGATAGGTTAAATAAAATTTTAGTCGTATACAAAATTTATTGACCTGTAACATTTGTATTTGACACCATTAATATCGACTGATTTGATTTTTCATTTAATTTTTACTTTAAATGTGATGAGAAATATAGTAATTAAGAAAAATTAAACTTTTGATTCTTAAGATGTTTTTCCATTTACTTTTTATTATTTAAGGCTAATTCGATAAGTATTGTTGTTATTTGTAAGATGATGTGTCTTAAATTTATTAATTTTGTATTTTTTAAGTTGGTTCATGTATTAGATTTCATGCGAACATTATAGTTAGAGGCCCACGAATATTAGACTCTATATAACCGTCTAAATTCACTACTAGCAAATATTGTCAACTCAAAGTTTTTAAAGTGGTATGTTAAGGAGAGATTTCCAACACTTGTACATAATGTTTTGTTCTTCCTATTTTCTTCTTCTCTCTTGATGTGGAATCTCTCAATTCACCCCTTTTGGGGTTAGCGTCATTCTCTTCTCTAATTGATGTGGGACCTCAACCCACCCTCTTTGGGGCCTAACATTCTGGTTGTTCTCTAATTGATGTGGGACCTCGCCCACCATTGATGTGGGACCTCGCCCACCCTTCTTGGGGCCTAGCATTCTGGCTGGCACACTGCCTGATGATGTCCATCCCTCTTTAAAGTTCTGCTTCCTCGCTCGCACATCACACAATGACTGGCTCTAATACTTTGAAATAGTCAAAACTCACTGATAGTAGATATTATCTTCAGTCTTGGAATATTTCAAATGAGTATTTCCACCTAAAATATTATCACAATACGCATTTTTATATATTGGATACCAAATAAAAAATTTAGAGATCTATTGGACAAAAGATTGTAAGTTTCAAGAATATTAGGCATTTTTATAAAGCTAACGATCTTATTGAATAAAAAAATTAAAAATTATATACCTACTATACATTTTTTAAAGCCCACTAACCAAATAAACAGGATTATGAAAGTTTAGAAAAATAACTTATAATTTTAATACATTTTTGTCCAAAGTTTTTCCAAAAACGAGCTTCCATACGAAACTCATTCAACATTTTATTTCCAAGCAATCTTATTCTTGAACATTTTATTTTAAAATTATACGATGCAAGGTGCGTCGTATAGTTTTTTTCATAATTGGATAATCAAGATTACAATGAATCAACATCAACATCCACCCTATTGCTATTTGAAGATCAAAGAAAGAACAAAACTGTTGCAAGATATAGAAAGTTGAAGATCATTACGCACTTAAAGCTCCAAAGTCTCCACAAATGCATCCTTTAGAAGAGGGTTGGAAGCTGCTACCCTTTGAGATGTTACGTCAAAATCCTTGCCAGAGCTGCCATTACAATCAATATCCATCAAAACCAAGTTTCTAAATTTCCTAAGCTAGAAAACAACTCGGTTACACGAACATTCGCCGATAGATAAATGCTTTTTTCTTTTGTATTTCAGTTACGAAATGGTTAGCTCATTAGAGTAGAGTCAAAAGAGTAACAGACTCGACTCGAGTTCTTGCTACTACTTACGGATCAAACACGAGCCCGCCAGCTTCTGTGACAATAACAGCACCGCCCGCGACATCCCTGAATGATTAATATAGTGTAAGTGTGATGTCTTAGATGAACAATGGACAGATAGTTTATATATCATACCAAGGACCTCCAAAACCAGTTTCAAAAAATAAATCAATCCTTCCACAGGCTACTCCACAGAGGTTCAGTGCACAAGAACCACTCATTCGGACTGATCTCACCTATAAGAAGAAGACATTGACATAAATGTGGAAATCACAGGATGTCATAGGGAACCGAGTTAAGGTCTCGTTATACCTTCAAAAGAAGACGATTAATTCGGTCTGTGGTAGCATCTACAGTCAACTTGTCACGTTTGGTTCCAACCTGTTCATCCATTAAGATCAACTTTTAATTTGGTCAAAAGTGTAAGATTGGCAAGTTGTAGAAAAAAACTATGGGTATGATTTAACATCAATGTTGGCAGGAAAGATGGTTCTCTTCATCACTGATAGAAGTATGTATTCACTAATATATATATATATATATATAAGAAATAAATAAAATCGCTATTCGACAAATGTGAGATCCCACATTGATTGGAGAGGGAACGAAGCATTCCTTATAAGGGTGTGAAAACCTCTCCTAGCAAACGCATTTTAAAACCGTGAGGCTGATGGTGATACGTAACGGGCCAAAACAGACAATATCTGCTAGCGGTGGGTTTGTCTATTACAAATGGTATCAGATCCAGACACCGGACGGGGTGCAAGCGAGGACGTTGGGTCCCCAAAGGGGTAGATTGTTAGATCACACATTGATTGGAGGGGAACGAAGCATTCCTTATAAGGATGTGGAAACCTCCCCTAGCAAACGCGTTTTAAAACCGTGAGGCTAACAGTGATACGTAACAGGCCAAAGCGGACAATATCTGCTAGTAGTGGGTTTAGACTGTTACAAATGGTATCAGTGCCAGACACCGGATGGTGTGCGAGCGAGGACATTGGGCCCCCAAGAGGATTGATTGTGAGATCTCACGTCGATTGGAGAAGGGAACAAAACATTCCTTATAAGGGTGTGGAAACCTCCCCTAGCAGACATGTTTTAAACTGTAAGGCTAACGACGATACGTAATGAGCCAAAGCAGACAATATTTGCTAGTGGGGGTTTGGGCTGTTACTATCAGAGCCAGACATCGGACGATATGCCAACGAGGACGTTGGACCTCCAAAAGAGGTGGATTGTGAGATCCCATATCGATTGCAGAGGGGAATGAAGCATTTCTTATAAAGGTGTGGAAACCTCTCCCTAGTAGACACATTATGGAACCCTAAAGCTGACGGCGTTACATAATAGGCTAAAGCGGATAATATCTGCTAGCGGTGGGCTTGAGCAAACTCATATCACCATTTGAAATTTGTTTTTCCCTACACTGTCTAAGAAAATCTTTCTACAATCTAAGGTGTTGGAACATGGTTTCAATATCCATCGTCATTGTAAAGTTATACTCAACTTACCTGCTACTTATAAGACAAAGTATGACCCGAAGATAATCCATAATAGAAAATCAAAATGCGTATCATGAAGACAATTGAGGGGAAACTTAACAGAAATGTAAATATAGAGACTTTTTCAGAATCTATTCAGAATGATGAACACAATTCAGCAAATCCTAGTTTATCCTCAACACAAGAACAGCAAGATAAAGAAGTGGCTGTGAGGCCCATAACACTCGAAAGGACTCATGGAATCCTTTTTAATAACATACCTCAGTTGCAAGAAGAGACTTCAACAATTCGTCTTGAGAGGATACTGTAAGATAAGAAATAGAAGCATTTGAGATAAACGAATATACAATTTCAAAATTTCAGAGGCGTTGAAGTGCCACATACTCACCTTTTATAGGCCTACCGTTAAGAGAGGCGCCTTTTCCACGAATTCCAGTAAAAAGCTAGAGACCATGAAAACAAACCAATACGATTGGCTTAGAAAGAAATGGATAAATAAAACATTGTAACAGGTCCCTAGAAGATGATAAATATATTTCACTTATTGTACCATAAAATGGTCGATTTGATCCTATCAAAGCCAACAGTACTCACATGCTTAACAGAACTTATCTGCAACGGTCCAAGCCTACCGCTAGCAAATATTGTCCTCTTTGAGTTTTCCCTTTCGGGCTTCCCCTCAAGGTTTTTAAAACGATCTGCTAGGGAGAGGTTTCTACACCCATATAAAGAATGTTTCATTCTCCTCCCCAATCGACGTGGGATGTCACACTCCACTTCCCTTCAGAGCCCAGCGTCCATGCTGGCACACCACCTCGTGTCCACCCCCCCTTTGGGGCTCAGCCTCCTCGCTAGCACATCGCCCCGTGTCTAGCTCTGATACCATTTGTAACGGCCCAAGCCTACCGTTAGCAGATAATGTCCTCTTTGAACTTTCCCTTTTGGACTTCCTCTCAAGGTTTTTTAAAACGCGTTTGCTAGGGAGAGGTTTTCACACCCTTATAAGAATGCTTTGTTCTCCTCCCCACCCGAGGTGGGATGTCACATGTCACTTGATCAAATGGTTATGAAAAACTGTGAACTGTGTCCCTATTTGGGAATATAAGAGTATCACAAAGCTGAATTTAGCCAAACAAGTGTAGCAACCTGGAGTCTGAACTAGCATCTAATATAACATCCTGTCACTGAAACTATGTGATTCTCACCTCTTCAATAATAGGATTGTAGACAACTCCAACTGTGGGAACCTTTCCAATGGTCAGACCAATAGAAACACACACAAAAGGGAACCTACAAATTGTTATGTTATGATATTAAGGTTAGCAAAAGCTATAGATAAATAAAGAAAAGGAACCTATATTGCAGGCATGGATGGGTACCCATGAACAAAGTTTGTTGTTCCATCAAGAGGATCAACGATCCACGTTGGTTCATCGGTTAACTCGGTATGCCCACAAGCAGCAGTTGTTTCTTCCCCAATAAACTGAGGTAGCCAGTTTGAAATAATTCAGGAGTTAGACGAAAGGTCTATGTTTTCTTCATTCAATAATGGGTAACTTAAAAATGAGTTAAAGAATTAGACCTTATGTGAGGGATAATGCTCCTTGAGATGATTAAAAATGAGATCTTCACAAGCCTTGTCAGTTTCAGTGACCAAATCAACCTGCAATCCATGTCAATATTAATAGACATGTAGTCATTTAGCAGAATTCACTCCAAAATGTTTCAATAAAATCATGCTCGTTCACATTGTAAATACTACAGCCATCTAAACACTAAAATTCAGCTTGACTTCTACCCCTTCCCCTGTTTACCATAATACCATTCAAATGTGTGAGATCCCACCTCGGTTGGTGAGGAGAACGAAGCATGCTTTATAAGGGTGTGAAAACCTCTTCCTAACATGTGAAAACCTCTTCCTAGCAGACGCGTTTTAAAAACCTTGAGGGGAAGCCCATAAGGAAAAACCCAAAGAGGACAATATCTGCTAGCGATAAGCTTGGACGGTTACAAATGGTATCAGAGCCAAACACCGAGTGATATGCCAGCGAGGAGACTGAGTCCCGAAGGGGGTGGACACGAAGCGGTGCGTCAGCAAGGACGTTGGGCCCCGAAGGGGGTGGATTGGGGGGGTCCCACATCGATTGGAGAAGGAAACAAGTGCCAGCGAGGACGCTAGGCCCCGAAAGAAGGTGGATTGTGAGATCTAGGCCCCGAAAGGGTGTGGATTGTGAGATTCCACATCGGTTGGGGAGGAGAACGAAGCACATTCTTTATAAGAGTGTGGAAACCTCTCTCTAGCATCCGCGTTTTAAAAACCTTGAAGGGAAGCCCAAAAGGAAAAGCTCAAATAGGACAATATCTACTAGCGGTGGGTTTGGACGGTTACAAATGGTATTAGAGCCAGACATCGGTCAATGTGCCAGCAAGGAAGCTGAACCTCAAAGGGGGTGTACACGAGGCAGTGTGCCAGCAAGGATGCTGGGCCTCGAAGGAGGGTGGATTGGGGGTACCACATCGATTGGAGAAGGGAACGAAGCATATTCTTTATAAGGGTGTGGAAACCTCTCCCTAGCAAACGCGCTTTAAAAACCTTAATGGAAAATCCAAAAGAGAAAGTCCAATCCTAAATAATATCGGCTAACGGTGGACTTATGATTTCAAACAAGATTTCAATAAATGAGAGAGTTCAATAAACAAACGATTTCCTCACAACTTCAATCAGTGTCAAAATCTAATCACCTGGCCTTTGTGTTCTACATGCTTTGTCTGATAGAACCCCTTGCGAATTATCTAAGAAACACCACAAAATCAAATAGGATTGAAGGGATCATCAGAAGAGATTGAATGAAGCAAATGAAATAGAACCCAAGAAAGAAGAAAAACCTCTCCAGCTCTCTTGGCAGCATCTACTGCAGTAGCAAGGTACTCCTCGAGACAGACTAAAAACAAAATCAATCAAACAACATTTCAATTTTACCCGTTTTCCGCCAGCAAACAAACAATTAAACGAGGGAGGAGTAATTAGAGCAAAATCGGAGAGAGTTCATACCATTTTCCGCCATCGCTTCAATTATCTTCCCAAGAAAGCTCGCTCGTGGAATGGAGAGAGCTGAAGGAATTGATGAAATGGAGACGATAGGATCAGAAACAAGTGATTTCGATCTAGAAGAAGATAGAAATCTGTGGAGGAGAAAACTGGCTGCTCAAAATTTTGAGAATAGTTTTTGAAAATATTTCAACATTTACATAATTTTAATTTTTTTTTTAATCCTTTATTTATTTCGTTTTCATTGAAACTCTAAATATTATTCGAGTAATCCAAGTGGACAGTACAAATTTTATCAAATTTTTTAATTAATTTTGAACTATTGGGATCATTAAGTTAAACAAAAAAATCATAATTTAACTTAAAATTAATTAGATAAAGGAAAAAAGAATTTTTAAAATTGGAATAAATTTCAGAAAGTACTTTTAAAAATTAAATGTAATTTCAGAGAATATTTTTATATTCGAAAAATAAAATGTGAAGGAAGATGGAATATGCGGGGGAGTATTGTAGAGGGTGTTTTAGAATATGCCCCAAAGATGCTCTTTTGGTCTCACCCAATTTTCCAAGTTTGCCTAATTGGATGATAGTGTATATTGGGTAATTTCTCTAACTCAATCCAACATAGTTCAACTACTTGTCACAATCGCATTTTGATGGCAACGAACTTGCGATTGTGCGGCACTCACTTCCCAGCAATAAGTGAGTTAAGTCTATTCGTTCTTGCGTCGCCGTAAATCCAACATAATTCAACTACTTTGTCACAATTGCACTTTAATGGTAGCGGACTTTGATTGTGCGGCACTCACTTTCCAGCAACAAGTGAGTTAAGTCTATTCGTTCTTGTATCGCCTACGGCCAAGTGATGTATGCTCGCGCCTCTAACCCCAGTTAAAGAAAAAAGTTTTAGAAAACAAGGGTAAAGAGATTTCGAAAAAGAGTTTTGAAACCAAGATTTAAGAAATTGAAATTGATGTTATATGAGAATGTAAGTAAAAGAGAAGAACAACAACTTACAGCATATAACTATCGGGTAAGGAGATCCAACATAGTTCAACTAATTAACACAGAAATTTTCCTTTCTTCACATATACACGTTCTCCTTGTTCGCACTTTTTTTTTTTTTTTTAAATCATGAGCTAAAATCATTCTTGAAAATTCAAACATGTAAATACTCTAAATAGAAAAAACGCATCACCTTGTATGAGATTTAATGTCAAAAGGTTACATTTATAATGACTCCAAAAATGTGTTCAGCTAAGATGATGAATTCTTGAAGAATGTTGTTAAACTTTGGGGTATCTTAAGAAGCATCGATAGTTATAAAACAGAGGAAGAATCCCTTACTATTCTCCTGCAACAAGAAGATCAACAACACAAGAACATAGAAAACAGAGGAAGAATCCATGGAGGATATTTGAATTGCAATAAAGGGGAAAATAACTCCGAAGGAATAATTATGAGATTATCAAATAACTCCAATTCACAATCTGATTAAAAAATTAAATAATACGTTCAATTGTTCAAATCAGCAGTTGGGTTGAACAACAAAATGAGTTCAGTTCCCATTTCTATCCATCAATGGCAGTTGCAATTGGTTACCTCGGCATTCTGTACTGTGGAGTACCAAAGTTCAAAAATTTTCTGCTTACACGTACCTCAACCAATCTCAATAAAACAACCAGAGCTAGCAGTCGGCAACCATGGAGTTCAAAATTATCAAAGCCCCGTCACCAGAGGTATCAAAAGAAAAGATTATGATTATAAGGCGAAAAACAAATGAAAGAAGAATCTCAATCTATCTAGTATCGGATGATATCCTGGAGGCAGTCGAAAAAGTGAGAGATCTTGATCTTTTGTGAGCCAGAATAGATTGCTTCTGCGCCTCCACCACGCTCACCTTGAGCAGCCATCTCGATTAACATGTACAGCTTCTTGATGGGCATCTGATGGCAGAGTAAATCCACATGTTTAAAAAGGGGTCATAATAAAATGCTGAATTCTTCAGGCTCATCACAGAATATATCAAAATTATTGCCAATTTTCAAAGATCGAGCACTTCAATTGGAATAATAAATATACCTATTCAATTACTTCCAATATTCAAATGAAATCCATTTTACATTCATTACCAGATTCATGAGAGTAATTCATTCAGCAATGCGGAGAGAATATGATGCTATTAGTTTTCTTTTTTGTTAAAAATTAACCAAACCAGATGATTTCGATCTCACAATAATCAAGGAGGGTTAATGGGAACAAGTCCCAGTTTTACTCAATAGCTGTATTCAATCTCCATTGGGCCATAAAGCTCAATACCATTTCTTAGGCCTAATACAATAACAATAACAATTCTATTATTTTATTTTGTTAATCATCTGTTTTTCCATTTCTAGAATATTTTTTAATTAAAAAAAAAACAAATAACTTGTTTATTGACTCTTCTTTTGTTCTATAATATCATTTTGTAAAAATGTGTTCAGTCCTAGTCCAAGTTTAAAAACAAAAAGTAGTAATTCAAGGAAAGTAAACACAAATTGTTAGGAAGCTATCTAATTTTCTAAAAACTAAAAATGAAGCTCACTTATTCTCGAGCAAAATAAAACCACAATTGGATCCCTAAACTCCTATTAATCTGGTGCAAATGATCATGTCAGCAGCCAATAAGGCCAAACTAAATACATCTATCATGTTTTGGTATTTAACAAAACTCAATAAAACATAACTGCAGAAAAAGGTTAAAGAGAGATGGAGAACATACATCACTGACAGCCTCCGCAGCAGCATCCACATCATTATCAGCAAAGACATTCAGTTGTTGCATCACCTGAGATACGATGAAACAGAAAGAGCACGGTATCCTTTCGGTTCAGTTATCCATAAAAAAATAATAAAAAAGTAAAACAGAGGGCATTACGAGTTCAATGCAAGTCTAAATAAGTTAATCCTGAAAAAAGAAATCTGCGATTTGGTAAGATAATATTACAATTTTCTAAACTTAAAAAACCAAGTATCCTTCAACTAATATTTCTCTGATAGGCGAACGCATGATGAGCAATTTTCAATCTTTTCTCAGCATAATTTTCTATGATTATAGGTAAGAAGTTTCTGAGATCAAAAGTAAACCAGGAAATAGCAATTCAAGCCACATGGTACAGGACCTTTATCATTTAATATCATACGAATATAACAAATGACTGCAGATCTGAAATGATACGAGAAGGATGGCAAGAGTACTCAATATTTACCTTCTTTGCATCATCTGTTTTCAATGTCGGAACATGATAGGTGACAGAGAAAGCATCACAAATACCAACAGAATCTAAAAAGCCCACTTCACTAGTTGTTCCAATTACCAGAAGCTTTTTACCCTGGATATGTAATTCAAATGATAAATAGATTAGTAACTATCAGTAAGATTGCTATGTTATAGAAGAGTGTTTCACCCAAAAAGAAAAAAAGTAATAGAAGAGTGCCATGGATGAAAAGCCAAAACATGAAAGCGATTAGTACATTTGTATTCACATGGAGTATAAACTTTACCTCCCAGCTTCAGGATATCTATATAAATCACTACCGTACACTAATGAGAATGAAACAGGTGTGAATTAAAAACTTCAGATTCACAAAATTGAAGAAACCTTGGGAGGAAGTCGTTTGAGAAGAACCATCAGTGCTTGAGACATCAAATTTGAAAAACGAGGACCAATGGCAACATATTCCAGTAGTCTGCAATAGGGCACCTTACTATCAGAAAGAGATTTGGCGAGGATACTAATAAGTTAATACCTAGGAGGAATTGTAGACGGATGATTGTCAGAATTACCAACAATTACCTTTCAATGTCATCGAGAATGATAATGCTCAATGGAGATTTGTATGCATCCTCAAAAACCTATCAAACAGCGACACATCATAAGTCCCTTCAAATAAATTTCACAGGCCATTAGCCAAAAACTCAACATAACTCACATATGACTTTCTGTAGACATAATTATCGAACAGAAAATTTTGATTCAATATAAGCCTTGTTAACAGTAAGGTGAGTGACAAGCTAGCAGTCATAGAAGCACTGACAAACCTTGACAATCTTAGCGCATTTTGTGCTCTCAAGAAGGCCAATCATAGACTCAGCTGATATCTAACCAACAAAAAAAGGGAGGGAAAAAAAGATGAACTGAAAACCAGGTAAAGAGACAGTACAGACGGATGTAAATGCATGAACAGGGAATAAAAATCTAAACACAAAATTGAAAAATAACTTACAATTTTGACATATGGAAACTCACTGTCGATACCAACAGTAGCTGCCATTGCAGTTTTGCCACTGTAGATGGGTGAGGTCTTAGCCATAACTAACAAATTAAACTGTGTAATAAAGGTTCTGCATTAAAGAAAGGAAAAATACTTGACGAAGCATACCTGCCACTAGGGCCTTCGAGAAGACAAGTAACAAGTGGACTTCCCTTGCTCACTTTAACTTGCTCTACAAGTAGCATTGCTCTTTCATAAATGTGCTTATGTCGTCCACCACATTCCACCATACCGTTAAGCCTACAATTGCAGTAACATAGTACACATTAAGGACTATTACTTAAATTTTAAGAAATCCAACAGGGTTTGAGTGTTCCAAATAACTAGAGAAACATATTAGATCAATACAAGAGGTTGTCATCCCTCCCACTCCAAATGAAAGAAGAAAGATACAAAACAAGTAATGGAATAAACTCTCCCTTATCAAATACAAAAACCATTAATTTAACTGCAACAAGCTGATATTAAAGTATCACAAAAAATATTCCTATTCAATCTGTTCATAATTCACTGGAATTTATGTCCTATCAATTACTTTTATAAACAAAGGGTTGAGATCTTCCCTAGCTATCAGAGGTGAGCATTCCTAAAACTTGAATGTGAACAGTAAATTCTTGATTGAGGGTTCTATCCAGGTCTCAGGTGACAGATTTGAAAAATCAATATCAATACAATTGTGCAGAAGTGTATTGCCAACAGAAGCCTAGGGTATTCAGAGTTTCTAGAATGATACACGGCACACACATGAAAAAATCAAGCATGACTAAATCATAATGAATACCATGTTACGTGAAAAAATCAACGTTTTTTTAGCTCACTATGAGGAGGTGATTATTTGAACCTCTGACTGGGTTTAAGGTATAATGTCATAACTAGTTGAGCTATGCTCAAGTTGATTACATAAGACAAGTTGATTACATAAGAATACCTAAGGCTTATAAAAAAAGGTTTTTGAAGTTCAACAACATATGAGGTGGAAAATTGAACATCCGACTTTTTAATCGATGATAGATGCTTTAATAGTTGATTTATGCTCAAGCTGAATCTGAAGCTTATAATTTTAAACTACAAATAGTGTTGTAGGTAAAACTGAATTGAGTTAACATCCAAATTTGCATTTTTTGTCCGAAATTCCTTTTCACTAATATAGTGCTGACCATATCATTGAATTGAGAGTGGTAAATTAGAAAAGGCTTTCATGTTCTCTTTCTCCATATTCATGCATTCAACTTTACAATTACAAAACACTAGAATAGTTTCTTCATCTTTCCTTTTATGCAATTTTTCTTTGAACTTCTCTATCAATTTAATATCTACTTGGTATTTCCAATAGATGGATACTTATGAGAGAAGTTGATAACAAAAAGACACCATTTTGGGAATTTGCAGTTCAAACTTCAGTTTCAATTTGCAGTTTGGGAATTTTTCTCTTCCTTTTGGGGATATTTATCCTTTAGATACTCCAAGTAGATCATGGGGCCTTGTCAATTCAGTGAATTTAAAGATAATAAATCAAGTTATGATGGAGGAAGGTTTTACTTTGTCATATGAGGATTTTGTGGCCAAATATGTCGAGTTGAGTTCTTTTCTTTTTCATGATTAGCTGCAAAAGTTGGATGGTCTTTTACTTCAGGATGACCTTGAGGTTATGCAACATTTATAGATAATGTATGGTTTCCTCCATCGTCTATTCAGGTTTCATCACTTCCAAACTTATATTTCATGTCTCAAAAATGAAAAATAGACTCATTGAAACCTACCCTCTCCATTATACTCAGAAGAAAGGCTGCTCAGGTATCCCTGAAAATTTAGAGATTAATTTAGACATTTTGGAAGAAGCTTGTGGTCAGTTCCTCATTTCCTCTCCAAAGTTACAGCAGCCCCCTTCACAATCTACTCACTCTTTCACTTCAAATGATCACTCCTCCATATTCAATTGTCACTTTAACCAACAGTATCATTAACTCTCCCACCACTAAGGACTCTCTCTCCTCTCCAATTGTTAATTATGTTGAATCTGATAAAGCATCTAATGTTAGTATGAGTAATGAGAAATCTGAAGCACATTTAATTAATATAGAGACTGATGAATTTTCTATCAAAGACTCTTGCACTTGCATTTGAAAGTTTCCTTTTTTTTTTTTTTTTCAGTTATTGATAAAAGGAACTCAATTGAAATTTTGCAATCAGCAACATCATTAGCAAAGAATCCTTCAATTCCTCCCAAATTTCATTCCTTAATTGAGGTTTGTGGATTACATACGAAAGAAATCACTCCTTAGTCACAACAAATTAACATCTAATTGTGTTTTATCCAGCTTTGGAGGCTGTTTTTTTTTTTTTTTTTTTTTTTTTTTTTTTTTTTTTTTTTTTTTTTTTTTTTTTTTTTTTTTTTTTTTTTTTT